TGTGCAGCACTGGACGCTGGAGCCTCTCTGCGTGGCCTGGACCAGCTGAAACGTTCCAAAACACTCCCCTTTTGTTCTTGTCCCTCTCCACCTCTGCTGGGATGTTTTTGTCACCTTCAGTCCCTCCCAGGCCGATCTGCTCGGAAGCATTCTCAGGATGTTCCCACCTTTTCAGCTCTGGCTCGTCCCTAAATCCCAGCCCCCTGTGCCCTGGGCAGGGAGCCACTGCTTGCACCTTTATTTTCCAAAATACATCTCTGGGCCCTGCGATGCCACCCAGGACAGCTCTGGGGAGCTTCTGGCAAGAAGAGCTTCAAACCTCCCTCCTCGATGCCACCCGTGTTGAGCAGAGCCCACGCTGTGCTCCCGGGGCTCTGAGGATCTGCTGGGCCAGCTGGGGTGGAGACCCAGGGATTTGCCTGCCAGAACTCCAGCAGCTCCTGCAGCAGCTGGTGCTGGTTTTACGGAAGATCTGGGCCAGCACAAGTGGAGCAAATCAGGGTTTCCAGCCTGGGGAAGCTGCAGAAGGTCCTGCCAAGGGAACCATCCCTGCCTGGCAGAGCTGGGCAGGAGCTGAGGGCACCCCGAGGCTGCGGCTGCAGGGACCAGACGTGGTTTGGTGAGGAAGGACCCAGAGCAGGGGAGGAAGGCAGCCTGGTGCTGCTGCAGCTCCCAGACCTTCCCTGGGACACGAATGGCAAAGCCAGAGCAGGGTGGGGGCTCAGCACGGCCAGGGGCTCCTGCAGCAGTGCAGGAACACAGCCCAGGCTGCCCCCAGGGCTCCTGCAGCAGTGCAGGAACACGGCCCAGGCTGCTCCCAGGGCTCCTGCAGCAGTGCAGGAACAGTGCCCAGGCTGGGGGCTGCTCCCAGGGCTCCTGCAGCAGTGCAGGAACAGTGCCCAGGCTGCTCCCAGGGCTCCTGCAGCAGTGCAGGAACACAGCCCGGGCTGGGGGCTGCCCCCAGGGCTCCTGCAGCAGTGCAGGAACAGTGCCCAGGCTGGGGGCTGCTCCCAAGGCTCCTGCAGCAGTGCAGGAACACAGCCCAGGCTGGGGGCTGCTCCCAAGGCTCCTGCAGCAGTGCAGGAACACGGCCCAGGCTGCCCCCAGGGCTCCTGCAGCAGTGCAGGAACACAGCCCAGGCTGCCCCCAGGGCTCCTGCAGCAGTGCAGGAACACAGCCCAGGCTGGGGGCTGCTCCCAGGGCTCCTGCAGCAGTGCAGGAACACAGCCCAGGCTGGGGG